AAAGATTATTGGCATACCTCATGAGCTGTTCGATCCAAAACAGGAAAGGCAAATCTGTAAGAGAAAAAACACACAATAATATTAAGTCGTGGTTTTAAGCTACGGACGCACGGTTCAACATTGGGCGTAATGTTGCATGCAATTAATGTTTCGAGGCATGACACACGACGCAATTTGTTGTACGCAACGTTGCTGAAGTAGAAAACTATCCTACTTCAGCAACATTGCCTGCAATGTTGCGTCCAATTTTGCACCGGCTGACAGTGCCTTTATTATTTCTCGTTCTTTTTGGACAATCTGTATCAGTGGATATAGCTTTACTTTATTCTGTATTAGTTGGCAATATAGAGCAATTGGTTTTACTCCCAGTCATAGTTACATCACCTCGTAATATCTTCTCTGTTATCTGTAACTAATACATTTATCCACGTTAATTATTAATTCACTAGTATAACTTATAAGCTCTCCATTGAGACATGACAAATAACGTGAAAACACGGATAAAGAGAAAACAAAGCAAGAAAAAAACAAAAATGAATAAATAAAATTAAAACAAACGCGCTTATCGAAGTTGCAAAATTAAAATATAAGCAAAACAACGTAAACCAAACAAAGACAAAAACCAATAGCAAAAAGTACCAAAAAAGACAAAAAGAATAAAAACAGACATCCAAAGTACATACCTTCAAAAAAAGTTTCTTTTAAATTTGATGTAAATATAGGTTATGAGGACGACAATTACTATCACTAAAGCACACGTTATCGACAGGTGGGAAATTGCAAAATTTCTTTCTGTAAAAGGAAAGGTTAAATGAAAAATAAAGTTCTCACAATCCACTACCCTCAATAAAGCCATAAAAAATAGGTAATTTCGAACATTCTAGAACGCATGGTACTTTTAAGAGCCGCGAAAGAAAATCGTTATACTAAACATTAAAAATAATGAGATAATAAATAATGTAGTATTGTATTGTATTATTGATGCAAGCTTAAAAATTGGTAGACTTTTTAACGTGCCTTGGAAAAATGGCATGTACTTCGTAATCTGTTTTCTTTTGTCTTCTCGCTTACTTTCTATTGCAGTTGATATTGGCCACCCTTCAAAGAAGAAAAAAACAAGTTACAAAATAAAAAATAACATTATACATATATGTATAATGTAATGATATAGAGTTCGTAATTGTTTACTATCAATCACGTGACTTTTTGGAGTTGGCTGGGGGGCAAACAAGAGGTTGACTGGGGGGCGACTAGCGGATGCTAAGTCAAAACATATCAATACAAGTCCTCAAACTATTGTATTTGACTATTTTCACGACAACAAAACAGAAAACAAGAGATCAAAACAACCTCCAAGATTCTACAAGCCATCAAAAAAGTGCTATTACCGGAAGTGACGACTATTGATAGCAACCTATAGAGGATTTGCACCATTACATGGCGACGGCCATAATATATAATGCAGGAACAGTAAAATCATTTTTCATTTAATAGCTCAACTACCAAGTGGAAAGGGGTTTTATTGTTCTGCAATCTAACCACAGATAGCACAAGCTGAAATTGAAAAATGCGGGATAAAATCGCTTGCGCACTGGAAACGATTCTCAAACTACGATTTGGCTTATGTTAACTGTGATTAATAATGAACGCGACGTTGCAATTCCAGATATCTCGATATACATCTGATATATATAAGAAAACGTTATATTATACTTTCATTTATATGAATGTACCTTTCCTTTTTGGTTCTTTAGTTGTAAACTCAGTGCGCACTGCCTTCCCATACCCAACTGCGTTTCGTGCATACACCTTCACACCATATGTCGTATTCTCATTAAGATCCTTTGTTACGCAATACGTAGTTTCGGTGATAACCTCTCTGGGTGGAATTGTGTTGATTTGTACTTTATACTCTATGACTGGGCTCCCTCCATCATCAACGGGACTGTCCCAATTGATCACTGCAGAAGTTGCTTTGATGTCTGAAACGAAGACATTCGCTGGTTCTACAGGGTCTATTGAAGAAAAAAGTAGCGATGATAAGCAAAGATGAATAATAGCAGAAAGAGTAATTATGATAATGTGTTGATGGTAGTGTCAGCAGTGATGATAAGCGCCGATCGGATAGGCCCGTCTGTCTTTTAGTCGACTTTATTATATGACGTTTTTGTCACTACCCTTTTCTTTCTGAAGGATAGTTACATCACAAAGAATTTAAAATATTATGCAAAGTCGTCAAAGAAAATGAAATTATTTACATTTTTCTGAGATTTTGGTCCTCGTTGTAACTTGATTCTCGTTTGGATTATTCGTTGCCTGACACTCATACGTCCCACGTTGGTGTCTCGTGATGTTGATGAATCTGAGAAATGCTTCACCAACTCCTTTACTGATAATTTTTGGGTTCTTTATAATTCGTACCCACGTTATGTTGGGCATAGGATCTGCAGCTGCTGAACATCGGATGCACAGACTTGATCCCTCATTGATAGGCGTAGATATATTGACAGGAGTAGTAAAGCGGGGACGTTCTGAATACAACAAATTAATTAATCATTAGTTGGGAGCTATTAAAAGCAATAGTTTAGTCCAATAAATTAGTGAATATATTAATCATAAAACATTTAAGCACCCTTAAGTATGTGCTATTTGGTATGGAATGCAGTCAATTAGTAACAATATATGTTTTAATGGTTTGTCACCTATTTGTTTAGCGTTTAACGTTTTGGTGTAAACCAAAGGATGTATACCTTACCTGTAACAACAAGTTGTACTTTACTTTTCATTGGTGATCCCACTAATAACAGCAGACTGCATTCATATAGCCGTTCATCAACTTTGGTGACATTATAGATGACAAGAATAGCAGTTGACTCTATACTGAGTCGACCACGCAGTTTTGGGGGACATTTTTTGTTTATAATGAACTTCCATCCATTGTAACCATCCTCGACGCCGATAACTATTCTTCCTCCACTTGTATCATAMAGAGCCCACTCTGGTGAATATGGATCGAACAGTGCAGTTCTATTTCTGACATTGTAATCCCACTCAAGTCTCGCTGTACCTCCAACGGACACGTAGAGATTACTTGGAGGTTCTCGAGTGAACCATTGAATAACTATTGAATATCATGTATTCATATCATCCGCATGAAACAAATAAAATTAGCCAAATTAAACAGAACGACCTTAATTGCGTAGGATTACCTTTTGAAAGAGTTACCAATGAAGTCAGCAATGCAATCGTTTCGATGTAAAAATACTTCATACTTTATTGCCAATGGTACTTCAAAGTTGTGGTTTCAAAGCACAGGCAGGTTAGTAACGAGAGAGCGTTTATTGGCTTTTTATAATTTTTTAGTCAATACCAGAAAGGAAATCCAAAAATGGAAGTGTCAAAATTCAAAAATCCAAGGTAGAAAGTAAGAAGAAAAGTATCTCCATGCACTTTCGAATCTCACCGAGTCGTTCACGGACCAATCAGAAATAGCAGAAAATGTATTAGTCAACTTGTATTATAAAT